CTTATCTCATTCTAACACCAGGGACATTAGTTTGACTTGAGTAATGCTAATTCAAAGATTCGTAATATATATTATACTGGAACTTTCTGGAAAAAAAAAGTCAGCGGATTAACTATTTATTTGATTTTTTCTTTTTACACATTACTTTCCTTGAGCCACTTAATCTATTGGCAATTTTCAACTTTATTAGCATTTTGATAATACCGATCTTGGGCACGTTTCATTAATGTGCCACCTGGTCGATAAAGCCATTTCCTCACTGCGTGCTGGATTATTTTAGCTAAATTTATTCGTTTTTTCCATAAATGATATGCTCGCTAGATGATAATAGCCGGTTGATTTTTTTATATACAAAGTTAGGAAATATGTTACTTGGGTTTTAAATTCTCTAAATTCAGAGTTATTGGTTATGGATTCATTTCTGGTTAAATTATTTTTAATATGAAATACAAAGTTTCTCCAATGAACCTTTCTATTAATATCATATTCTAGTATTAATAAACGTCTTCATATATATTTGGGTGGATGATATTTCACAAATCGTAACCATGCTTCTGGTGTTTTTAAATTACTAATATGTTTAAGCCATATTTAGATAACATGTATTGGGTATAATTATTTTTTTCCTATTTCTTAAAAATATTAGACATGTTTAACGTGTGGATTTTATTAACTAAGACTTTTATTTAATAAGAATAAGCCAAGGACTGATTGATCTATTGGTAATTGGAATGATTAGTGAAAAAAGGGGTATACACTTCATAGATTTTTATTTCCCAATTTATAAGAAAAAAAACTTGGAATAGCATTAGAAAAATGGTAGACATCTTGAGTTTCACATATATGAGGGCCCAGTGAAAATCCTCCAAACTAGAGATTAGTGCTTTGAACTAGTTAAATAAAGACTAATTAAATTAAATTCCTTCTAGGTTTCGTTTTCTTGACCTTCTTTGGTCGCATCTTTCTTTGTTGCTTATGAGAAACAGCCTTTCATTCTCTTATCTCAATTATCTCAACTGAATCAGATTCTTTGGATGTTTCAGATAAGTAGGAGGAGCTCTCACCTTTTCTTTCATTAATTAATGAAAGGGAACTATTTCATATATTAAATCAACTACAGTGTCTCTATCTACACATTCGTCCATATTTTATAATTCAATTTTTTTGGGTTCTCACATCTTTTTCTAATCTTTTTACTATTTTTATTAAGCTATTATACTCAGAATGATAATCATTCAGTTTTTTATCTAATGCTCTAATTTCTCTAGAAAGCATACTATACACCTTCAAATTTTGCTCATCTAGCCCAGATATCTAGGCTATTTTCTCTGTACATATGATAATCTGGTTCCTTAGGGACTATGCACTATCAGATAGATGCTTTTGATTGGTTGCTATTTTTGTGCTATTTCATATATACAATATCTTAGGCGAACAAAAAAAATAAAATTTAATAAACAACATCTAACCTATCTTCCAAGAAATTTATTATTAGTTTTTATTGAAGATGTAGAATGGACTTGCCTGATTATTGAGTTCTCCTCTTTTCCGTATATTGACTATAGTATACCTCTTAGATGGAGAAGCATGGTTATCAGGTGAATGCCAAAGGGCTTCACTAGCATAAGTGTTAGCTTTTGATATATTTTTAGGCCCATGTGCTACAGAAGCAAATACTGCTCCTAATTTGCATAAAGAGCTAGAAAGTAATGGCTTACCACTTTCTGGAAGAAACTCATCTTTTTTCAGAAATGTACTTAAGTATATAGATTCAAGCTTTCCTGAATCCCTTAACTCCCCGGAAACGATTATTTCCTGAATCTATGTAAGCAATTGTCTTGCCTAATCTTTATTCTTTTCCAGTGATCTAAATACTCGAGGGATGTCTTGTTGACCTCAGTTTTTTGTATATCCAGTTACGGCCCTATTAGATATATACAAGTTTTTAATTTCAGCAGGATGAATGCAGAGCATAATCATTATATCAGCTAGGGCCTGTTTGTCAGGTATATTGGATATATCGTACTTATCCAATCTTTCCTTAACTGATTCTAATGAAAAGTGGTCCAGAAAATCGATCCCTTCATTTTCACGTTGCTCACTACATTCCTGTTAGATTTTATTGGATTCTTTGGTTATCTCTGGGTTCAATATAGCAGAGATTATTCCTTTAGAGCATTGAGAGTTCGCAATTCTTTTTGAAGCCTAGAAAGATGTGATAAGGTAACAACGGCATCAGGGGATGTTTCAACTAAGGTTCTAGATATCGCTTTTACATCTCTTTTACTAAGTTTATCTTTTATAATATGCTAAGCTGTTTCTTTAATAGTCTCTTCAGAACAAGTACTATCAGATACCTGGCATATATTCACTTCTTCAGCTTCTAACCTTCCTTCTTTAAGAGGTGCTTGACTTTTGCATCGCCCAATTCTCTGAAGAGGAATCAGTGCAAATGCCTGCTCTTTGGTAAAGTCATATCCTTTTATAAGACGATTATGAGCCTGGTGCCTTTTCTCTTTATTATCTATTAAGAGCTTAAGTATTTCTGGTGCATATCGGCTAAGTTCTTCGAGACTCATCTCAGTAGTGAGTTTGTAATCTGTAATGAACTTGGTTGTAATAGTGAACATGATAAGGTATATAGAATATAAGCGATAGTTAAATAATCTTTCTTTGTCAAATTATATTATATAGATAAAGTTCAATTCAAAAAAAATATTCTGACAATTCACTATATGTAAACACTCTGTAACCCACTCATGATCGGTGAAGGCTAACAGAAGGTCAAGGATAATATATCTTAGCCAAAGGCACTATGCATGTAGTTTCAAAAGGACCCACTCTGATCAGAGAGGGTTTATATCGATTTGAAATTTGTAGGCAGATAGGATATGCAAAAAAAAAATACATAGACATGGAACCCCATTCCAAGACTATGAATAAATTTGAATCATAATCATATTTTAATCAAGTGCTCGCATTAGAGCTAATATATGTTCCAGTTCTAAAGCATTTGTCTTGGTAAATGCATCATATAAAGTGCCTGGTCTATGTTTCGAAGGAGTTAAATTCGAGTGATGGAGAAATTTCATGAGTATATTATTCCTCCAAGCTTTTGTCTCTTCATGCTCCCAAATTATTCCTATCAACGTAGACAAGTTATCACTAGAATAGTTCATTTGGATTAGATTCTGGAGTGATGATTGTTTATTTTTTTTGATAGTGAATAAGCTCATCCTACCCTTAATGACAGATTCTACACTAATAGGAAAGTTCTTACAAATATCTGATCTATTCGCTATGATAGATAGGGTAGAATTAGAACTAGAAAGAAGTCGTAAAAAGGGTCAAATATGAATTAATTGCTATCTTTTAAATAATCAGAAAGTCTGTTAGTATATTTATAACCTTTACGAATTAACTTCTGAAATAACCTTCCGTTTGAGTCGATCTATCGACTAGTTAGAATATTGAGCACTCTTTTTTGCATTATGTTTATAGTGTAAGTAAGTTCAGATATTTAGTGTGGTAAGTAAAATATAGGTAATAGTTAGACTAACCTCTGTTTCTCAGATTATATTAGATAGGAAAAGTTCAATTCAAAAAAAAATATTCCACCTGTGACATCGTATTTTTGAATATCTATAATAAAAGTGAAGATGAAGTTTTGAGATTATTAATATCAAAATTATCTCATATGGATCGTCTATCCTGCCAATACATCAAGAAAGATGGTTCGACTCATATGGATCGTTTATCCTGCCAATACATCAAGAAAGATGGTTTGATTTGTGGAAAAGGGTGCTGGCGTGCTTCAGGATGTGCTATACACTATAAAACATGTCCTAAAAAATTTTGTCTTATCTGTAATAAGTTAACCAATTCTTATACCGGGATCTGTAGTACATATAATAGAATTTATAAAAATGCTTGGCGTGAAGGTAAAAAAAATACGACAGACTCTGATGTGGTCAAAACACTTAGCTGAATAATGAGTGAAATGAGCTAAAGTATTATTTTTCCTGCTCCATAGAATCAAAGAGTTTCTGAATATCATTATCTGTTTTTGGCCTATATGGTAGAGTTCTGGTGTGCCATTATCTTCAAAACCAAGACCATTATAAGGTTGCTAATTAATTTGATATGAACATTCCCAAACTCCTTGTTCTTTAGGCTCTACTTTTTTCCTATTTATCTTTACAGTATAGCTACACCAATTTTTAACAATTGTATTAATTGCCCTTATAGCTAAGTTAAGATCCGATATTACCTTAGCACGAGACTCGAAGCCGAAGAGTAATAGGAATTAATCCAGGAGCTCTATAAACCTTTCACAGGATTATCTGAATGCTTCTGATACAATATTGCTAGAAAGGATACACTTATCATCAATGCCAGTAAAGCCTAGTATTTGAAAAAGTTCTCTTATAACTTTCTAATGATTAGCTGAATAGTTTTTACGCAAGTCCTCCGCTACTGATTTTTCAAAATTATCTTTAGATTTATAACAGATATCCTCCTACTGTACTATGTTCTTAGCTTCCAATTCTTCCATTGCACTTTTTTCATCGCATTCTTGCCTTTAGAAATAAGACAACCGTAAAAAATGCTTTCAAGGTTCAGGTGGACTAAAACATTCTACAAACTTTTTATTACAAAGATTATTCTAATCTTCGATACTCATGTCATTACTGCTATAAGCATTCTACATATAGAAATGTTTAAGAGCCATAGTATCTGCAATAGAACATTCTTGATCAAACTTAAGATTTTCTGCTTCTTCAGAATTAAGATTCCGGGAAGTAGCAACTGCATTAAAATCAGTTTCTTTGATAACTAATGCTTCAACCCTAATCTCATTGCAAACTCTTTTACGATTTTCTATAACTCTTTGGCTCTTATTTATTTTTATAAGTTGAAGAGAAGTGCCAGTACTGGCAATAAGACTACAGAGCTTTTCAATAAAATATCTTGCAGAAAGACGTTTCTGATGCTTGACTTCAATGAATGTTATTACAACCAGAGATTCGTCAATTTTATAAAAAATGGTATTGTTATCCTATTCACGGTAACCCTTTATTGCTGTAGGTAAGTTATTAGGCTGAGCACTAGCAAGTTCAGCTCGAATATTTTCACAACCTGGTGGACGAAAAAGTTCGTTAGAATTTTTCTGGTAGAATATGGAAACAATACGATGAGAACAATCACGAATCTGGTAAAGCATTTGTGCAAAAGTCTCAACATGAACCAGATTGGTGATGTTTGTAATAGCTATAACTATATCGAAGTGGCCTGTAACTTCAAATAATATTCCTGCCTCCACAGTATTTGTATAGGCCACACAGTCAAGCTCACCCCAAGTGACATTAATATCAAAAAAGTCTTTTTGCCATTGTTTCCTATCCATATCTCCATAATAAGTACGAGCTCTGATGGGCAAATTATCAGGCTTTATCAGCTTTGATGCCTTTTCTACAAATCAAACCATCTTTCTTGATGTATTGGCAGGATAAACGATCCATATGAGTCGAACCATCTTTCTTGATGTA